TGAAAGTGGCGTTAAACACCAATCAATACATTTTCTGCTGACATCATTTGTTTTCAGATAAACTTCAAATTACTTGCTGAAAACTGAACATGGTGTTTGAATTAATTTGAGAAAGTTATGTTATTGAAATGGATAAAGTATGATTTTGAAATGGATAAAGTATGATTTTGAAATGGATAAAGTATGATTTTGAAATGGATAAAGAAAGATTTTGAAATGGATAAAGAATGATTTTGAAATGGATAAAGAATGATTTTGAAATGGATAAAGTATGATTTTGAAATGGATAAAGAAAGATTTTGAAATGGATAAAGAATGATTTTGAAATGGATAAAGAATGATTTTGAAATGGATAAAGAATGATTTTGAAATGGATAAAGAAAGATTTTGAAATGGATAAAGAATGATTTTGAAATGGATAAAGAATGATTTTGAAATGGATAAAGAATGATTTTGAAATGGATAAAGTATGATTTTGAAATGGATAAAGAAAGATTTTGAAATGGATAAAGAATGATTTTGAAATGGATAAAGAAAGATTTTGAAATGGATAAAGAATGATTTTGAAATGGATAAAGAAAGATTTTGAAATGGATAAAGAATGATTTTGAAATGCACAGTATAGTGTTATGTAACTACACTTGTATTTTATCAAAAAAAATCACATTTTTGAGCTCTGTAATTCAATTCAGTAGAAAAAAAAATTGTGATTTTTAGATAAAAATTTTATTGTTTACAATTTGTTCGGTCAATCTGAATTTGATTTCTTGTATTCAGTTGCTTACCTTACGAGTATCTGACAACACTCTCGATAAACTGTTTGTAATGAGGGCTTTATTTTAATCTTTGTGGTCACACACCTTTAAAAATGTGGATACGGAAGTTGAATTGGTTGACAAAATAATTATCAGAATAAAAACTAGAACAAGATCCTTGTAATACAAATGGTCAAATCAGATTGTTGAATGGTCATAAGGTTTGTAATGTAAATGGTCAAATCAGCTTGTTGAATGGTCATTAGGTTTGTAATGACAAATGGTCAAATCAGCTTGTTGAAGGGTCATAAGGTTTGTAATGACAAATGGTCAAATCAGCTTGTTGAATGGTCATAAGGTATTCATGATAATAATTACACACACACAAATATCTGAATTAGAACAAAACAGACCTAACAGTAAACAAACAGACCTCACAGTAAACAAACAGACCTCACAGTAAACTAACAGAACTCACAGTAAATAAAACAGACCTCACAGCAAACAAGCAGACCTCACAATAAACAAAACAGACCTCACAGTAAACAAAACAGACCTCACAGTAAAATATCAAGATGAAGGACAACAATAAAAGTGTTGTGATTTTAGATATATAAATTATTTCAAAAGACATTCACCCTGCATTTTTTCAACTTTTGAAAGATGATCATATAACCATAATTGATACCTGCACCTTAATAAAAAAAAACTTGTATGAAATTAATCCTTTGTAAACTGATGGTATAATAAGATAATTTATGGCTGATTGTCCCTGTGATCATGGAATTAACAAGCCAATGTTAAATGTCAGCCATTAATTGGATGTTGTTTAAATAATGTCCTGTTGGAATTCATATTAGAGGTTACTGGCCGACCTTGGTAGCTGTTTTCATCATTTAATTTCCTTCATTCAGCAAGGTTTGAGATTTTATAAAGCTGTTTTGGCAGGAGAAAGATGTTGTATTAAAGAATGCAATTAAAATAATTTTCAAGTAATAAAAATAGTACCATTGTACATGGACCTCTAGAGTCTACATGTTGTTCTTTTTCATGCCTTGCAGTAGAGGGCATTGTTTTCCAATCTGCTTTATCAGTTTGTTTGTCAGTCCTGAAGCAGGTTAACATTTCTGGTTAAGATAGTTAACCATGACATTGCGGTCACATCAACTTGAAATTTAGTACACAAAAAAATTGTTCATTATGATGTTAACTTATTAAAATATAGGGCCAAATTAGGGCATTAAGAGATCATCATCATGACTCATGAGGGGTTGGATTTTTTTTTTTGTGTCTTGAAGTTGCTATAACCAAGTGTCTTCTTTTATTTAGTATAAAAGCTTTCATGCACAGAGATTCTGACACATTTTTGTCAGGGTACAGGGAGTTAACTCTTTAAGAATCAGCTGAACGTTTTAATCACAAATCATTAGTAAAGAGAAATCAATCTTCTCAATGATCAAAATTAGTGTTTGTCAAAATGCTATATAGCCAATGAAATTATTCCTGTAAATTGTATGGTTCAAATTTCTTAGAAATTTTTATATTTTTCTCAATAAGTCAAAGTTAATATTTTGTCCAAATTCTATGAAAATCAATCTAGCCAAAACTATGTTAGTCAAAGTGTTGGGTACCAGTACCTTTTTTTGGAACATTTATTGCTGATATTACATTTCCATCAGACATTAAAAAAAACATTCCAAAATGACATTGACCTTGAGATAAAGAATCATAAATACTGATTATATAACTTCTTGAGTAGTAGTATCAAGGTCATCAAATCCTGTCTTTATTATATATAAGCTCTTTATACTTATTCTGGTGAGAGGTTCAATAGAATTGGCTATTATATCTTAAAATCAGTAGCACTTTTTGTCAAATTGATCCTTACATAGATACTGAATTGTGTATGAATTTCAAGTGATCTTTCTTGCAAGATGTCTATACATCACATTTAATGACAAGGAGAAAAAGTCTAGATCACTATACGGTAACAGCACTCCTAGAGATTTATTCTGTTGGAAAGAGCGACCTTCACCTTAATTGAATGACTGTCAGGCCGATACTGGGGCCTTTTAGCTCATGGAAAGTGCTCCCAGAGGCAGATTTAAGAGGAGGGGAGGGGGTAGGGGCAGGATGCCCAGGCACCTCCTTATGGAGCTACATTTATGGTTTATGCAGACTTTTTATCCGTTCCACTCCAAACATTGTCTAGTTTTGGGGCCCACAGCCCCCCCCTTTTCAAAATCCTGGATCTGCATCTGGCTTTCTTGTCTTTAATTGATAGACCAACAGACCCATACCATTGGCCTATCGGCTGATGGAAAGTGCCCCCTTGTATTTAATTGATAGACCGATGATGGGGCCATTTGACTCCTCTAAAGAACTTAAATGTCTTTACTTGTTTTTTTAGGTACTTTGAACAATGATTATGTTATTGATAAATTCAAACATAAACTTTCTATGTATCCCTTTACATTTATTGTCTCCCTTTGACAGAGTCAAAAAACAAGACAAAGGTATGCTGTTTCTCCCGGGTCGGGGTAGGTGGCGGTGTCAACAATGTATTAGTTTGTGATTTTAAGGTCAGCAGAGGTTATGTTTGTATGTTTTATGCTATGCCCAATCAAAATAAAGTTCTCTATGTCTATGTCTAATGAAAAGGCTCTGTGTTAATAGTTTATGAAAAAGGAGGTGTTATTTTTTGCTTGTTGAGAAAAACTCCCCATATAGTTCTCTCTGTAATTATTATTTTATTATAATTATTTGTTTTTCTGTGAGAACTGTTAAATTATATTGACAGTTTATTTTGTTTTACACTGTCATGGAATAGAAGTTCCTTCATAATATAAATTCCAAATGGAAACAATATTCTGGAATATTATTTCCACTGTAATAAATATTACAGTAAATGTTCCTAACGGAATAAATGGTATAGAATATTTGTTCTAACAGGAACAGATATTATGACATTGTTTATAACAAAGTTTCCAGTGGAACTTCTGTTAGGCGGAACAAATATACATTGACAACACAATACAACTTCCCTGGAATGTTAAAGGATTGAGGATTCATTAGAATGTTGGAAGTGATTATCTTAGGAGAGTAATTATACAATATGAAGAGATATACAGATATAGAGATATACAGATCTGGACAGTATTTCTTAGTTGTTGTTACTATACTATTTTATAATAAATATATGTAAGAGTCAAATCTGTGTCTAGCCTCTAATTTGTGTCATTTCCTCTGATCAGTGAGTGTGTCACTTGACATCGAGGCTGGACATAGTTTTATGTCTTGCATATATAAAAGGTAAGCACCTCTGTCTGAACATGCAAGCTGCCTATTATCTTTTGCAGTTCTAAATTGTTTTTCGAGAGATGACTTAAAAATCAAATCTGTGTTTATAGACAATTTTGAGGGTGGAAATTACTTTGACATTAATGAGTTAATCTATTATACTGGAGAATTTAGTCAAGATGTCTCAATTTCAGATTCCCTTAGAATTTAATTGTGTCATCTTTTACAGTTGTAGGTTTAAAAAAAGTAGATAAATATTGGTTTACTCAGCCAGGAAAGAAACACTCATGAAACAATATAATCACAGTTACACATTATTACATTGTGTTATTTATTGAGTGGAGATTTCCTAGTGGATAAATAAAGCAAAATAGTAACGTTTTAATCTGTATATTGTTTGTAAAATTCATGATAATAAACTTGATTTATTATCGTTAAAGCAAAATGTATGTTTCCCTGTCTAAATGGTTTAAACAAGAATTGCACTGCATATTCAACTGGTCCCTTTGTCATTTTCTCCTAAAAGAGGGACTAAAGATACCAGAGGGACAGTCAAACTCATAGATCGAAAACAAACTGACAACGCCATGACCAAAAATAAAAAGACAATCAGACAAATAATAGTACAGATGACAGAACATAAAAAACTTAAGACTAAGCAACACGAACCCCACCAAAAACTGGGTGTGATCTCAGGTGCTCCGGAAGGGTAAGCAGATCCTGCTCCACATGTGGCACCCGTCGTGTTGCTTATGCTAAATGAGGTTATACATTAAATGAAGATCTTAGTTTAATTGCTTTTGTATTGTTATTCCTAAATAAACAGGAATTCCTGCAGATTTCATTTATTATTATTATTGCAGCTTGTAAACTCATGTGCTGAATTTGAATAAATTTTAAATTATGAAAATAAGGAAGTTATCTAAATGTTCATTTCCTTTTCAGATGTGATACTGCTCTGAGCTTAAGAAGTTACAAGTAAGTCTATTTTTTTTTCTTTTATAGATGTTTGTTCATCCCTCCTTTTCAGTGAAATAAATTTTAGATTTTAGATTTTAGATTTTAGATTTTAGATAGTTTGATCTCTATTTGTTTACATCTAATTGCTATAACAGATGAAGCAAGAACATATAGCCTGACCATAAATACCTAGCTAACAAACGGATATTTTTTTGTTTTGTGTTTTTGACACATTTTACGGATCCTTGGGCATTTGTAAACAATGAGGAGCGTCAGGTAGCTAATATGCAGAGAATATTAAAAATGCCTTGGAGTTAATATGAGATGAATGATCAGAAAGGTTTATATATATATATAAGTTAGGTCCTTTTATTATGTCTCCTAACTCCAGATCGATTCCATAATGGTCTGTTACAAGGTTTGTGGACATGTATTTAGTGTGATTTGAGTGAAAGAGTAATAAGATTGGATTAGAACTATAAACTTGCCAAATATTTTTTTTCTAGAATTATTCATTAAAAGGTTTGTTACTATAATGTTATTTTACAAGAAATAATCCGGAAGTTATATGTTTCTTCTTATAAATATTGTTGGTTTGAAATCGAGTTGTGGCATGACATAGCATTTTTATAATAATTTCTACATTGGCAAAAGCCTTCTGTAAGTCTGGTCATGATTTTTAGTGTACTGGTACTCTTGGAATTATAAATAATAATGGTTATTTTTACAGAGTTCATTGGCCTTTCATTCACAAGCCTAAACAAAAGTTATTTATCAAGCTTTTAACCAAGTTATTACTTTAGCTCCAACAGTTTCCATGTAATAATTTGTGGACCTTTCAACCCATGCTTTTTTAAATTTTGATATGCTGTATGGATTACAAAATGGAGGTCAAATTTGATATTGAAAATTTCTTATGGTCCTTGATTTTTTTGGGAAATGGCACTTCATGTCATTTCTGTGTATGACTAGAGAATCAACAAATGCTTTTCAAATAGAAATATGACTAAATGCGGAGTTGAAATTTTTGTATTACGATTGTCACTATTTATTAAATAATGGTTCAGGAGTTATGGTTACTGATTGTTTTAACAATGACACTAACGAATGTAAGAAAAACCTGGTTTGTTGTCATTTTGACAGCTCGGCCATCTTATTGAGAGACTATTATTATTCCCAAAATGACACAATACACAGCAGCCTATATACTGTAAATTCAGAAATTATTGCGAGGTTTTTATTATTGCAACAAATGCGACAGAGTTGTAAACGCAATAATTTAAACTCGCATTTTGAAATATTTTATATGAACTAAACAGGATTTTTCTCAAAATCGTAAAAATTAAAATTGCATTTAAGTCTAAAATGACAAAATCGCAATAATAAATGCACGCAATAATTTCTGAATTTACAGTATATATATAGTTTCCCATTCTAAGTTATCAGTCTTTGGCCATTACTTTTTGCTTTCTGTTGACCCTATATATTACAGACTAGAGTATTAAAACATTGCTACTTTCCCAAATTAAATGAATATTAAGGGTTTATCATGAATTTGGGAATGTTTTTGATATAATTTTGAAAGTTTATACATGTTTTTAATCATAATTAGTTGATTGGGGAATTGAGCATGATTTTAAATTTTTCATTGGGAATAAAATTGAGAATGGAAATGGGGAATATGTCAAAGAGACAACAACCCCACCTAAGAGCAGACAACAGCCTTATACAGGGTACTGAGGAACGAAAGATTAATTTATGTATATATATGTCACATAATGTAGACAAAATTCCATATATAATTTTTTTACAACATTACAAAAAGATATATAAATGACGAAGACCCCCTCCCCCCTCCACATTCTTTTTAAATTATTGAACACTTTCATTTTGTATTAGCCATTATCATGGCGTAAATAAGATATATATCTAATATATAACCTTGACTTTTTAAGTGATCATGTGGTCAGTTCTTGTAAGCATAATAATTCCTTCAACATGACTTTTCTCTTTCTCACTTTCCTTAGATAATAAGAAACCATACTTTGTCATATGATTTGTGTGTACAAAGGACTGATTATTTTCCACATATCCTCGTTGTTTGCAAAGAAATGGAGAATAACAAAGTAGCTTATTTCTGACTGCTATGATACAACGTTCATTAGTCAGGAAATGGATCGTTAGATTTGATAATTTTGTATGATTATTGTACTGTTGTTCATTCTCAAGCCTTTGATTTGAATCTCTCAGATTCCTTGACAAATTCTGCTAAATTAAATGTAATACACGATATTTCTAAGGGAACCAAATCAATGATTTCAAGAAAAATTGACAAGCAATTTCTCTGGATGTATTGACCCTTTGAATAATGGTATAATAGCCCTTCTATTGAGCATGGGAAATTGTGAGTAATGACTGGTATCGTATCGCAGAACATGGTTGAAGGCTACAATTTATATATACTAAACACCGTACTGTGTAAAACTATGTGACAACACATCAACAGCTGGGACTATTCTTTATGTTTAAATCAGGCAAATTTTACGAGGCTATATTTCATATTCTGACAAAATCAATGCCATCTTACAAGTCTGTTTTGTTACAATTTAAATGATGATGTAGTAAGACTGAACACAAGGTTGATAATATGATAGTTTGTTATTTTGAAAGCGGATACTGCAGGGAAATGTAATGTTAATTGGATCATATAAACAGTAAAAAAAAAAAGGAAGGATCTATATGCTCACGATCAGTTGGTTTAATATAATTAAGTGTAAAATTGATGGACATTATGTGGATAACATACTGTAATTCAGTGTTAAAGCCAAACGTGCTAATACTATGTACACATATTTATAATCAGTATTAATTGGGATCATTAGCGAAATAAGAACCTATGCTGTGATTGTGATTGTTAAGGCATTCCATGTTATAAGTCAAGGTCAGTTTGTGCAAAATATACAAAAAGAATGATTTGCAATCATAATGCTATGTATATACATATATACATATGTGATTTTTAAGATGAATTTCCACAATAAATCCTTGATTTAGCTAGACAAGTGACTTATACAGAAAACTAAGATGCTAGTAGACTATAGGTTGTGTCTAAGTTTAAGATTAACGCAGTATAAAGATGATGTTAGATAAAAGAACACATCAAAATTAAATGGCAAAAAAATTCACTGAAAATTTATTACAGAATTTCCTTGTTAGACTTCATTTCATTTGAAATCTGTGTTTTCATCAAAGCCGACAACTAAGTCAGGTAAAATACCAATACCAATGACAACAAAAAATGTGGAATCCTGCAGAAGACATTACGGCAATTAATTGAATCGGATAACTATGCAGTGAAGATGAAATTCTTCCAATGATTAAATTGACTAACTGGAATAAAACACATTAGGGATGTGATATAGTCTTGTGTTATGAAAATGTTTTCAAGAAGTAAAAAAGAAAGGTAAGAGATAGATGGTAGTTAGAGCATTGAACTTTAAGCCAGGTGATGTGAGGGGTTACAGGTATAATCGATATATGAAGTTATATTAGAGCATTGAGGGGTTTCAGGCAATCGATATCTCACTTATTTTTATAAAATCAACCCAAGGTCATACTAAAATCCTACCTTTATTATAGTACTAATAACCATGACACTAGTGTTGAATACTCCAACCATTACCTTTAGGGCTCTTTAGGGGGCCTATAGTGAACCATGGATTAGTATATGTTTTGTCAACAAGGGATCTTCAGGTGGGCCATGAACCATGGATTACTATATGTGTTGTCAACAAGGGCTCTTTAGTGGGCCATGAACCATGGATTAGTATATGTTTTGTCAACAAGGGATCTTCAGTGGTCCATGAACCATGGATATAGTATATATGTTGTCAACAAGTGCTATCCATATGTATTGCAAAACCTTTAGATTTTATTTTCTTAGTAATACAAAGTTGGCTGTAAGAGTATTTTCTGATTGCCTAATAAATTTTTAATAGAAATCAAATACTCAAATAGTTGACTTAAATTTAGTGATTACTACAAATGTAACCTCTCTCTTCCTGTCTTTTATGAGGGTCTTGATCAGAGGCGAATTTAGGAGGGCTAGGTGGCCGTCCCCTTTTTCAAAATCCTGGATTTGCACCTTTGTTGGGGGTCCTTCAGTTCTGTATTCCTTAAATTTTGGGAGAATTTTTCTTTATCTTAAAGAAGTAATGCTTATTTTGTAAAATTATGATGTAAACAATTTTGTATTGGATACATTGTTGGTTTCCACCCTCTTGGTTTTGGGATTGTAATTTTTTTTAGATAAATTCTTTACCTTTCATTTATGTGAGTTACAACTATACTGAGCTGATTAAGAAAGATGTATTAAATATATTTTGTGACATTTCAGTATTTTTAGAAATTAAACTGACCTTTTTGATGACAAGTCTTTTCCTCTATTGATCATCGATAACTTGGTTATGTCCGTCACTTTCCTGTTAATTCTTATAAAACCGAGACAGATTGAATTTCTGTAACCAGTCATTCTTAAACAAATTGACACTAAAAGCTTTCAAAGCAATTTCTACTTTATTTTTCATATGGTGATTTTAGATGGTTTAATTTAATTGTTTGAAATTTTTCAAGATGTTGTCATAAGTGGTTTAAAAGTTATGAAACTCCTTAATGACTTATCATTTTATATTATTTTATGAACACTTTATCTATTTTTATTCATGACCTCTTTCAGTTATGTTAATTAGGTTAATTTTTAATTTAGAAATGTAACACATAATTCTTTGAATATTGAAAATACAATGCCAATAACGATAACTTAAGGATGTTCGCTACTCTGTTTCAAAATGACAAGCTTTTTAAAAAACTGTTATAAATTGATAGTATATAAATAACAGAACTAAACAAGCAGAAAAAAATGAAAGTTCTGTCACAGTCCTTGTTTTTGAGATATTATAAGCCATTGAAAACTTGGCGGGAAATAATTTTATCTAGATTTTTCTAACATTTAATATTGG